GAAATTCCTTACCACTAAGACTCTTAAGTATAAAATTTGGGATTATTTTCAGGTTTTGAGGGTCTGGCAAAAGGAACCTTAGTGGTGTACTGGCTGAACAGTTGGCTTCTAATAAAAGAGTCAGCACTCTGAAGCCACCAGTCATGCTGTAGGAGAAAGATGGGGTGAGCTTCTGTTTCACTAGTTCCTGTCGGGTTGCTGGTCTAAGCCGTAACTGACTCCACAGCAACAGGTTTAGAGGGGCTAAAAGAAGGAAGACGAAAATCTACTTCAGCAGCAGGGGGCAGCACTAAGCAAACAATGCACAGATGTAACAGCCTTACCTCCACACAGCAATTTTCATCCAGAAGAATATCTCCTTTCTTATCTTTCAGATCCTCACCCACATAATAAGATATTATGTTGGGTTTTAGCACAAACCAGCGTTCGGTCCAGTTTTTCCGTTTATGGCCTTTTTTCATCATATAACCCTTCAAAATAGTAAATCTGATTTAAATACTTTCTATTTTATTTATAAGAGCTTTTACTTTTATGTTAGTCTTGTCTACTCCATGATCTAATATTGTTACATTGTTGTTAGAAATCATCATATTAAGTACAACTCATATGAACAACAGATCTGAACCCTGTCCAACCTCACAATCTCTGACACACTTCTGACTATTGCTGCAGTCACTGTGTCAATCTACCTGGTTGAGGGTCTTACTCCCTTTTGCCCACCACCCACCTTTCTAAGCATGATGTCCCTCTCCAGTGCCTCTCTTAGCAACACACCCAAAGTGTGTGAGACAAAGCATCCATCACCTTTGCCTCCAGAGAGCATTCTGGCTGCCCCTTGTCTAAGACATATCTATCTGTTGGTTCTTTTGGTAGTCCAGGAGATACTCAGTACTCTTCTCCAACACCATAGCTCAAATACATCAACTCTTTTTCTGGCATACTTATTCATTGTCCAGCTCTCTGAAAAGACTACAGCCTGAATCAGTACACCTTAGCTCTAAAACGAACTCCATTGTTCCTCAATATAATCTGGAGAGGTCCCTGACTGCAGATTTTCCCAATACTAGTCGTCTCCTGATCTTCTGACTGCTACTACCAAGTGTACTGACTGTGGATCCAAGCAAGATGAAGTCGTTATTTAAATCCTTCATCTATCACGATGTTGCCTACATAGGGTCAATATTTTTGTTTTCTTGGTGTCGAGATGCAATCCTTATTGAAGGCTGCAGTGTTTGATCTTCTGCAGGAAGTGTTGCAAGTCGTCCTCACTTTCAGCAAGCAAAGTTGTGTCATCTGCATAATACAGGTTAACGGAGAGTCTTCCTCCATCCTGGCACATTCTTCTTCATGAAAATATTCTTGTGGATTATAGACATTTTAAAAATCTGTACATGTTAAGTTAAAATTCATTCAAGCCCACGCAGACAAAAGTTTGCATTTAATTCGAGATACGTTACAGACTTTTTTTTAACCCTATATGGTCACAGATTAAGAACTTCTGGTGCCAACAGTATTGTATTATTGTTTACATCTTAAAGATACATAATGAAATATGTACTCATGACAATCAATGAGATTTGCGTCAAAATAAAAGAGTAGGTGAGGGGTAACTGGAATAGGATTAAATATGTTCTGGTGCTTACGTGATGATGGGTTTATGGAAGTTCACCATACTCTTCTTTCCATTTTCTCTATTTTGTGTGTGCATTAATTTCTCCAGAGAAAGGAAATTTTTTAAACACTACAAAATCCAAACAGTGACTTTCAGTAAATTAAAATCTTTATCAATGAGGCCTCTCCTCCATATTTTCTTTTGAAGAGGGCAATGTGTCCCTTTGGGAAGTAATTTTCTAATAAATCTATCTTTACTCTTGACCTTAAAAAATCCTTATCAGTGAAAATACTGAAGGATATCAACTTGGTCAAAAATTATATTCTCAACTAAATATTTGAGTATTCCCAACTTCTGGCAGCAACAGACATGATCAATGATTATTCTGAAAGATTAATTCTGTACTAGGTAAGCAGAATAAAATTTTAAAAACCCAACAACAACAGAAGTTAGGATGTCAGTTTCTCACTGTAATTTCTAAACTGACTCTGGACCATCCCCCAAACCAGCCTCAAAGACATGTCATTTTAATTTTACTTCAAGAAAATAACACATAATGCAATAAGCCAACTTCCCACAGGCAATTCAAGATTAAATGAAATTTTTAACATTAAAGTCACAAGTGCCATTGATTATCTATGGTAAAGATTACACATATCATTAAAGAAATGATGTTAACTTGGCTGACTTTCATTTGATTACTATACTGATTTCCATTCAGATTAGTTATTTAGTCCCCCAACCTCTGTATATTTAGCAAAAGCTATCCATATTGTAATTAATCTTTAGCCATATTTTCTACCACCATCAAGGGTCTAGAATTCCTCTTAAGGCAGAGACCACGTGCTCTAGTAACTTAACTTTCAGCCAGACAGGCCCTCCTTAGAATAACCATATAAAGTCAAAAGAAGAATATTTGCCCAAGGATAAAGCCCAGAAGGCAAGCAGGAGTGGAAAGGAAGACTGATGGAAATGACAATTACAGATAGGAAGTGAGAAAGTGTGATTACACTGTGGGCACTGTAATTAGCATTATAAAACAAAATATGTATGAATGGTGAATGAAAAGCCAATCTAGTCTCTAGTGCCACGACCTCTTCTAAACCCAGTTAGTATTTCTAGTAGTTCTCCATCAACTGTTCCAGTCATTTTTGGATAATCATCAGTAAGATTTTGCTTCTGTGTAAGATTAGTGATATTGTTCAGTAATTCCCACACTCTGTCAGATGACCTTTTCCTCGAATGGGAATAAATTTGGATCTTTTTCAGTCAGTTGGTCAGGTAGTTATCGTCCAGACTTTTTGACACAACTTAGTGAGCACTTCAGGGTACCATCTATTTACTGAATTATGTCAACTAGTATTCCATCAATTCCTTGGATCTTGTTTTTTGCCAATTACTTGAGAGCAGCCTGAACTACTCCATCATTGCTGCCTCTTAATCATATGCTGTTTCTTGAAATTAGGTGCGCCTGATTCAGGCTATGGTCTTCACAATTACTATGCATTAGAGAGGTGGACAATGACTAACAATCAAAAAAGAAGAATCGATGCCTTTGAGTTGTGATGTTGCTGAAGAAGAGTCTTGAATATACCATGGACCGCCAAGAGAACAAATAAGTCTGTCTGCAAAGGGGTGTTACCAAGTTTCTCCTTAGAGGCAAGGATTTTGAAGATCCACCTCACATACTTTGGGAAAGTAGCCAGGAGGGCTTGGAGAAGGACATCATGTTCGGAAGTGTGGAGGGGCAGAGCAGGAGAGGAAGACCTCAGCTGGGGTGGACTGACACAGTAAATAGGGTAAGGGGGTAGGAGTGTCGGAGTCAGTGACACTGGCTCAGGCCAGGCCAGGCCTTAGAGTTGCTGTAATAAAAGGTCCCTATGCATCACAGGCAACTCAACAGCACACAACAACTATTCTAAATATGTGTAAATAGTATAAGTGACATATAATCATCTTTGTGATGAATTTTTTTTTTATTTCAAACATATAAAATTGTAAAGACAGAGGAAAATACAGGATTATAGGACTTACCTGTTTTAACACATCCAATATAAGTTCACTAAAGACTTCATTAATTGCCATAGACACTGTCTGCCGATCCATGCCTTTGCTAAAGCGTCCATTTCCAATAAGTTCAATAAGTTCCCACACTGAAAGTCCACTTTTACTTTCATCAAAGTTGATTTTATAATCTTCAAATTGTTCTTGCTGCCAACCTCCTCCCATAGCTTCTGTAAGTTTTTTAAGCAGGTATTCAATCTATAGAAAGAGTTTTAAAAAATTTATTTCCCAGTTTAAAATAACTTTTCTAATACAAGTATGTAAATGTGCGTTTTACACTGATACAACCAATTTAAGAATTTTTTTTTAGTAAGAATTCTTTTAAAGTCCCAAAAGTGTGTATCTTTAAAGAGTCATGATTTACAGAGAAACACGTATGGAGAAAATGGCACTCTATGTTGTTGTTGCGTACTAGCACGCTGGAACCAACCCACCCCTGATCCTCCAGTGGGTTTTCAGAGGCAGTAAACCACATAGGAGGAGACTGTCCCTCTTTCTCCCACTGAGAAACTGGTGGATCCAAATCACATGCCTCTGAGTTAGTAGCACAATTCCATAACACTCAGTCACCAGCACTCCCAATAGTCTATCTATATAGATATCTATAGCTAATATTGTCTCTAAACTAGGGTATCTAAGGGAATTTTAAAAAAGTGTATAGTAGTACAAAACGAAATCAAACTGAACCCACAACCCCACAAACGAATTAATCTGATTACATACTCTGTTGTATACTTTATTTATATTAGTGCATAACCTTACTGAACTAACCTATAAATAGTAAATAAGCATCTCAAATTAGCATGTACTTGTTTTCATTTTACAACTCTTCCATGTAAACCAATTTTTAAAAATTCATGCTACTTCCTCCTATTACAGAACACCAATGGCGTTCTAAGTCATAATTAAATTCCCAACCTGTCCTGGAAATGCTTATTAAATATTGAAACATCACACCTTTTTGTAGAAAAGTATAAAATGCTGCTACTAAAATACCATCAGTTAAATAAAGCAGTGACCCAGCAACAATAGCAAAGTTCAACAAAGCAGTAAACAACAAATGTTGGTGAGGTTGTAGAGAGAATGGAACACTTATTCACTGCTGGTAGGAATATAAAATGGTTTGACCACTATGGAAGGTGGTCTGATGCTGTCTCAAAAAGTTGAAAATAAAAAAAAAAAAGTTGAAAATATACATACTATTTGACCCAGGAATTCCACTACTAGGAATACACTCTAAAGAAACCAGAGCCACAACTCAAACAGATGTATGCGCGCCAAGTTTATTGCTGTGTAATTAGCAAAGTGATGGAAGCAACCCAACTGTCCGTCAACAAATGAATGGATAGTAAAACTATGGTACATTTACACAATGGAATACTACACACCACTGAAAAAATGAACTCGTAAAACATTACACAACATGGGAGAGCCTGAGGGACATTATGCTGAGTAAAATATCTCAGTCACAAAAGGATAAATACTGTGTAATATAGCTCTTATAAAGTAAGACAGGCATGGGAGTGCTGGGGAAAGAATGGGTAGATAATGAACACTGCATTAGAACTGATAAGGGAACAAACTGTTCAAAAATAATACATTATTATGTATTATATGTATGAGAACAATCTGGAACAAGAAGTATATTGTGGAGTGGGCTGGGGGGGGAGAAAATATGCAACAATGAATTTTTAAAACTATTTTAAAAAAGAAAATGTACACTTAAAAATACATAATCAGTGAGGCAGTAATATTTAATAAGAAACTGATAGCTCAAAGACATCATGCTTGGTGTTAAGTGGATAATCAGAGAAAATAAGAAGCCTCTCACAAGGCAGACTGGCACCGAGGCTGCAACCATGAGTATAAGCATGGTGGAAACTGTGAGGACTGCGCAGGACCAGTCAGGGTTTTCTTCTGTTGTACATCGGGTCACTATGAGTCCAAGCTGACTCAAGGACACCTAACAACATCTTCTGGAAAGTCTGGGTAGCCCACTTCAAAGCCAACATGCCCCAAAATGAACTAATCATTCTACCTTTAGAATTCTATTCTACCTTCGCGTCCTCTATCATGAATTTCAGTTAAAAGCACCACCATTCACACATTTATCCATTCCAGATCTCTGTTCTCCATCCTCTCACATCAAACCAGTTCCAAAATCCTGTTTTTACTTCCCTAAATCAGTGTTCCCCAAACTGTGGATTATGCCTTTATATGGGATTGATTTTACAAGTAATCAACAGTTTTCTAAATTTTACTGTTGTTTGAAAATATACACAGCAAAACATTTCTCCAATTCAATGGTTTCTACATGTACACTATAATGACTGTGATTTAATTCCTCAAATTTAATTCCTCTTAATCTCCTTTTTTAATTATTCCTTCTCCATTATCACAAAATTACTGTCCCCTAAGGTTCCTATATAATTTTCTAGATAATATTTTAGTATATACTGCTCTGAGGTATTTACTCAAAAGACTCGAAAACAGAAATTCAATAAAGACATACACCAGTGTTCAATGCAGCACTAACTGCAACAGTCAAAGGTGGGGAAAAAAGCAAAAATCCTAGCAACAAATTATGAAACGTACAAAATGTGCTCTGGCTATTTACAATCAAACACCTCATGGAATTTGGTTCCTTGGTTTGGAGATTTATTTAGTCTCATGGCTTCATGGGATAGCCCAGTTACTAGGCTAATGCCTTGTTGTAGTGCTTCTGTTCTATTTCCTCATTTGTGTAGTAGCTCCTGGGGTCTTAGTAGGTCACAAAGAGCCACCTAGGACATAACAATTAATCTCATTCACCTGGAGCAACAGGAAGGAAGAGAAGCAGTTATATATAGAAGGAGGATATGGAATATATGACCAATTGCCTCTAGGAACAATTGCCTCCTTTTTCCATGAGATTAGAAGAACTGGATGATGCCTACCTGCCATGACTGAGCATTTAGATCAACAAATCCATAAAGGAATTCCAGTCAAAAGGGGCAAAAAACAGAACAGAATTTCATTCTTCCAATGTCAGGATTTCTTGGAGTCATGAATGTTGTATAAATCACTGAAACTATTGCCCTGAAATCATTTTTAACTCTTTCCCACACCAAAAATAGCTAACTAAAATAATTCCCTGAAACTTTTTTTTTCTTTTCTTGCCCTGTACTGTCAAATCGGATCCGACTGGCACAGGAGGAGATTGCCCCTCCTTCTCCAGCAGAGCATGTGGTGGATTCGAACCGCATGCCTTTGGGATTGCAGTGCAGTCCTGAAGTGTTCTTAAAACCAAACAAGTTTAAAAAAACAAAACAAACAAAAAAACCAACAACCCAAACAAGTTTAGTTTAACTAATTTGGGGGTCGGGGAGGAAGGCTGTCTGGAACATTATGCTTTTTAAAAAAGAATTACCTCATGGGAGCAAACAGATAATAAAAACTCATTGCTATCAAATCACAAACAATCAGTGCTGACCCCCCAGCAGAATTTCTGAGGCTTTAAATCACATGGGAAGAGACTGTCCATCTTTCTTCCATGAAGCAGCTGGTGAAATCAAACTGCCAGAGAAGAACCACCTTTGGGTTAGCAGCACAACTCCTTATACACAAGGCCACCAGAGATTCCTATTATACAGGAACCTAAGAAGTAGTGTATTTGTTAATAAGGAAGAAACAATTCAGAAAAGGAGAGTGATAATGATTGTTGTTGTTGTGTGCCATGGAGTGACCTATGACCCACAGTGACCCCACATACAGCAGCTCTGAAACTTGCCTTGTCCTGGGCCAGTCTCACTAATTGTGACACACCAACCCCCACTGCCCCAGTCACTGTATCAATCCATCTCATCTAGGGTCTTCCTCTCCTGCCCACTATCCACCCTTTCAAGCATGATATCCTTCTCAAGGACTGGTCTCTCCTGGCCACATGCCTAAAGTATATGAGAGAGCTTCAAAATCCTAGCCTCCAAGGAGAAATTTGGTTTCACCTTCTCTAATACAGACTTATTTGTTTTCTTGGTGGTCCCATGTTCAAGACCCTTCTCCAGCACCACGATGTGAAGGCATTGATTCTTCTGTCATCCTTAGTCATTGCCAACTCTCTGAAGCATAACAAGTAACTGCGAAGACCATGGCCTGGATTAGGTGCACCTCAGGCTCTACACTGACATCACTGCTTTTCAGCACTCTGGAGAGGTCCTGATAGCAGATTTTCCCAACGCAAAAGACTGTAATCAATGTCACTACATTGTACTTGTAGAAACTTGTAAATTGATGTATATGTTGCTTTATGTAATCTCAACAACAAAATAAATATACAGTAAAGAGAAAAAATGATGTAGAACAAAATTCAAATTACAAAAAGGAAGTAAAGGAGACCAGACTTACTGGTTTGAAAGAGAACAAAGGAATCCTACTCCTCTTCCCACCCCAGACAGACTACTGCTGTTTTCATTTAAAAAACTCAAGACACTCCACGAGGATACTTCTCAGCCAAATAATAGACGGCCTAGACAGTAAACAGTAACACTCATGAAGAGTGTGCTATTCAACTATGGGAGGCCAAAAGAGCAACACTAGACCAAAGTCAAAGATGAAACGGGAGAGAGGGAAAGTGAAACCAGATGAATGGAAAGAGTAGGGGGGCAGAAGGACGAAATGAAGAGAGTGCTAACACATTGCAAGGCTTACAACCTCAGCAGAATTGTTTGTATATGAATTACTGATTAAAAAGATAATTTGCTATTTAAATTTTTACATAAAGTACAATAAAATGTTGGAGAAAAGCCAAAACCATGAGCCCCAAGTACCTCCAGTGCTTGGAATATAGGAGTTACTCCATCAAGTTACTTCCCTTTTGCATCAAGAAGAATATTATTCAACCAATTAAAAGTATATGTAAGAAAGATTTTATGAAATAATAAAGGGAGGAACAATACAAAATTAAATTTACCTACAATTTTAACTGTACAAAAACTATTTTACATATATTGAGGGAAATACGAGCAGCTTAATTTATTGCCAAGAGGACTGTGGATTCTTAGCATTCCCCTCAATTTGTCTAGAATGTTGCTTATAAAGTCAGACATTTTAACACAGGAAAAAACATCTCCATAAATAACTACATTAATAAAATACAAAATGTTCAAAAAATATTCTTTCCTATTGATTTAATTTAATGGGATATTGCAAGATCCTCTAAG